AGGTAGTTTCATATTTAATTCCGATGAACCTAGATATAAATCAATGTGAACTTGAAATAAAGTAACATAAAAGGCCAATAAATAAAGATGTTTAAACAAAGACTGAGGACCAATAAAGAAGGAAATAATATAATATACTGATAGACTAAGTTAGTCACAGCTAAAGAGCATCCACCTGTGGTTCCTAAGATCTAAGCAAGGAATGAAAATGTCGCTTGCCAAATATTGGCGACGAAGTTTAGTTCTAAGACACAATCTGGTAAACTAAAGTAAAAAATGCAGGCTAGAGGTTGAGCCGATAAGTGTACTTTGAAAGGGACTGGCAAAATTAATAATTTAAACACTTGATATTTATATATACGAATACCAAGATGTTGTGGCCTCTATTTTGGTTGCAGTTTCCTTTCGATGCATACTAGTCATTACACCTTGTCTTCGTAACTTTGTCAGATCGACAAGAAGACCTAGAGGAACGCATTTTATTCGAAATCCATAGTATGCATGATCATTTTCACTCAGACCGTGGATGTCGTACATTCCCAGACGTTTCGCCGGCATCGTCAGTGATTCTTGCCATTTCCAGCACCAAATTACAACTCACTAGAGAAAAGTGAAGTCAATCCATTGACAAACTGTCTGCCAAAATGACTGTGCTAGAACTTCCCTTCCTGTCCTGGCCCCTCTATTCATTTCCTACCCTTTTGTCTTGCCCTCGTACTACCACAACTTTTGACGTTTATATTCTACAAGAGACGTGCCTCTTTTTTAGTACACTGAGGGTGGATCCGAGTAGCCAGTCAACCAGAAAGATAAGAAACGTATCTACGGGTTCACGAGGCAGAGCAGGACAGGAAGTCCAAATTGGATTAGCCACTCGAAAGGAAGGTGAACAAGGCAAACAACAGATGTGAAGACGCCACGGTAAATTCGCGGAAAGTGCACACCTTTTGTGGAATATAAACATGCCAGATGTGACGGGATGAGGGCAAGACAAGAGGGTATGAAATGGATAAAGGGACAGAATAAAAAGAGGAATGATAGCATAGCCGTTTCGGCAGAAAGTTGGTCAAGGGATTAACTTCACTTATTTCTTCTACGAGTTGTAGTTTGGTGCTGAGAATGGGAAGACTCATTGAAGATGCCGGCGGAACATGTGGGAATGTATCAAGTCCACGGTCCGACTGAAAATTATCATGCATACTATGGACTGCGGACAAGGTGCGTTCCTGTAGGTCTTCCTGCAAATATTACAAAGTTGCGAAACAAGGTCAAATAGCTATTAAATATAAAGATTTTTACATAACAAATAAATATACTGTAAGGAATTCTAACATGACAATGGCGAAATCAAAAACAAAGACCTACCCTTCGCTTCTTCCAATTTTACATTTCCACTTAGCAATTCAGAGACTGCTTCATTTGCTGTATTATTTAATGATGATTTAGGGGACTCTCCAGTGATACGAGACAAATAATCCTTGGCATCATCGTCCCACTCTTTCATTACTTCTTTTTCCTCTTCTTCATCTAAACCAAGTTCAGCAGCCGTATCCCTAGCATTTCGAGCTGCTTCTGTAGCTATGACTAGGTGACAAAGGCGTTCACCAGTCTCTGAAGTTAGAAGATGTAAATCTTCGACACATGTTTCAAGGAGGCTAGGGTCTACTACGCCATCGAGCACTTCACGAAGCAAGGTTCTGCTACACAATGCTTTTTTGGAGACGACCGTTCCGATTTCCTTGGATTGATCCTTATTTGGTGGATCAGTATCAGAAGGAAGTTTATTGGATGGAATTGTTGATGTAGACAATGGAGATAATGGTAGAATATGCGGTGCGATCAAAATAGGATCTACAGACTCCTCAGTGTTATCAGAATCGAGTAGATGATGAACACCCTTTGATTGTCCCCCACCTGAATAACAGGATAAAAGTTAGAAAAAGTAAATCAAAAATAATTCGAGTTAAGAAAAAAAGAACAGACAAATTAAATGAAGATGAATATACTATCAAACTATGGATTGAAGAAAGGGAAATAGATGAATTTAAACTAACACAGTTTTGGCCAACTACTGGGAGAATTTTTAATTGCCCGTTTTTCAGCCAAATGCTTCATTTCGTCATCAATGCGTCGCCCAAGCTCTTTAATTTCTTCAGAGACCTTACGCATTGCTTCTTCATTCAAATTCTAAAAATAAGCGTAAGCCAGCTCAGATACTGAGTAAGACAAGATAAGAGGTAATAAACGAGACAAACCTCCGCAGCCTCGCTATTATGCTTATTGCCAACTGATTCAATAAATGCAGGGGGGTCAGCTTCCTCATCATAATCGACTGTCAAAAAGGCATCTATGCTCAAAGCCGAACTTGGTGTCCTTCCAAACTCTTCCAAACGTTTACGGGCCGTTTGTTGGCTTATTCGAGCTGAATAAAACATATAATAATAAATATGAAGAAGACCCGTATTAAAGATGACTATAAAAAATATGCATACCGATTCTAGCCACATCTTCCTCTGTCCGATTAAATTCATGGATTTTCGCCGCCACCAAGAGAGCTGCGGCTGCAAGACCACTTGGGCGTCTTCCCGTAGAAATCCAATCCTTCTTCATTCTCTGAAGCAATCTCATTGCTGTATTTGAAACAGAGGAAGTTTTATCACCAAGTTCTAGCTGATGAGCAAATCTCTCTATAAACAAACAAGGATCTAAAAGAGAAGAACGATGCTAAAAATAAGTAAGAAATAGACGGAGACATAAGGATTCAATAAAAGTACCCATCTCTGGTAGCACTAGATTGAGCTGTTTCTTTAGGTGAATATAAAGGTGCCCAAGGACGTAAACATTAACAGAGATAGCGTCACTTAAATCAAGGAGCATGACATTGACTCTGAGCATTCTGGCAGCCAGATAAACGCAAGCTGCGGCCATCTGTTGGACTGGGCGACCACGGGTAAGGCCACGGAATAGAGCTGTTTGATAATAGCGAAATGCCGACAGCACGACATCGTTTCCCAGGTAAAGAGGACCGCATATAGTCTCTATCCGCTTTCGAGCTATATATAACAAATATAATAGTGTTAAATAAAAAATAGAGAATGAACTAGGACATAGGGCAAAATAAGGTACGCACCTTTTTGCTCGGTGGCTTGCCTTGACTCTTTATAACCGGATAACTGACCTATAACAAAATACAAAAGTATAAAAGAAGCTATTCACAGAGTACAAATAAATATAGAAGTAGCACACACTTTCATCTGAAACAAATCTGCCAACAGCGGTAGAAACACCATTTCCAGTTTCGACAAATTCTATCTCTGAAGAAACAACATTTTCGCTAAGAACCGAGCCACAATTTAGGCAAGTCAGATCAGCCCTGGCTCTATCTTCATCAAAGTCGGTACCACCACACTGACTACACTTCATAATTGTACCAGAACCATAGAAAGTAAATATGCCAAATTCAAATAAGTATATACAATGAATATAAATTAATAAAATAATATAAAAATAATAAATC